GGCCTTAAGTGAACACAGAGCATAGAATTTGGGTCAGAAGCATGTGGAGAGGGCTATGGAACCAAGCCTCCCAACTCCTGAACGGGAGCCTACCATGCCTAGCCTGGGAGCCTTTTATTCAGCACAGGTTGTCTAAGCATCTGTAATAGGACTGGAGCATGTCTAATTAGGGATGGGGAGAACATGCAGCTTGGGACCCAGAGACCAGCAGTGTCGCAGAGACCAAGCACCATGCTGGCGGACAAAGGAGATGCCAAGGGTCCCTGGGCCCCCTACAGAGCAGATGGTAGTAAAAGATGAAGAATAAGAGCAGTGACCCAGACTGATGCATACTCAAGCTACAGGAGCCTCAAGAATTCAACATGGCTAGAGAGGGATTGGGGCAGGGGACATGCAGAGGGAGAGGAAAAACCGCATACACATTGTCTCACCAGGTGGTGTAGCTGTCCCACGTACAGTAGGAGCCACCTAGTGGCAGGGGGATTTAGGCAGTCAAGAGACCCCATGGGGTTTGGTATGAAGAAGGCAGCATGACCAGAAGTAAGGAGGCTCCTCAGTTAAAAGAAATGGCAGCTTAGACAAAGAGGGTAGCATTGTGGTAGGAGGGCAGTAGAAAGTTCTGGAAAGTTTTTTCTGCCCCCTGCTTTGTGCGAATGTTGTCCTAGAAGCTCTGTCTCAGCTCAGAGAGATTGGGAGGGGGGCGGGGTTTGGCACATACCTGTAAATCCCAGCACTGGGCTACATAGTGAGACCTGTCTCAAAAGAGTTAAAAAAAAAAAAAAGCTGGGAGCCAATGGCTCATGCCTATAATCCTAGATACTCAGGAGGCTGAGGATCTAGGTTCAAAGTCAGCTGGGGTAGGAAAGTCTGTGAGACTCTTACTATCTCCAATAAACCACCAGAAAAAAATGGAAGTGGCTCTGTGGCTAAAGTGGTAGAACGCTCTCCTTGAGCTGAGGAGCTGAGGAACAGCACCCAGAGCAAGGGTTTAAGCCCCATGACTGACAAAATAATAATAACTAAAGCCGGCCATGGTGGCACACTCTGATAATCAACAAGGAAGATAAGGCAGGAACAGCAAGAGTTCAAGACCAGCCTGGGCAAAAATAATAAAAATAATGATAATAATTAATCATCCTCATCATAAATGAGAGAGGTGGGACAGATTGGACCCGAGGTGGCTGTGTGCCAGCTACTGTATGCAACTCCTTCTTGCAAGTCCTGCAGTACCACGCTGCCTTCTTAAAGGTGATAGAGGCCTCTAATAAATAAACCAAACCCCAGTGTCTTGTGCACATTTTGATGTGTTCTCGTAAGCAGTTTGGGGTGGCATTCTGGATGATAGCTCTTGCTGGGTAGAGGAGAGCATATGGAGGTTGTCGCTGTCTTTCCCCACTGTCTGTCATCAAGGGTGAGTGCCTTACTTAGGGGTTCGCTGAGACGAGAAAGTTCGCACCTGCCCTTCACCTACATCCTCCAGACCTTGCAGGTCTGGAGCACAGGTAGGGGTGCTAGGAGGGAGGCATTTGGAGCCTTGGCCCTGGAGTCCTGGCATACTGCTTTCTGTCACAGCTCAGCCCCGCCTAGACCTCCAGAGTTGTGGGGCCTTGGTGGCGCAGGGCTCCAGATGCTCAGCAGATGCCAGGCCTGGGACCAAGGCCCTGTCTCCGAGGGCTTGGCTTGCTGTTCTGGAAGGTGCTCCTGGCTGGCAGCCATTCCTGAGCCCCTACTTAGAGCAGTTGTCAGGCAGTTGCTGAGTTCCAGCTCCCCCTCCCCAGAAGGGCTGTGATCTCATGCTTGTGCGATGCTGTCAGTTGCTAGGGGCGGAGGTGGCTTACAACTGAGGGCAGGTGCCCAGACCAGGGGAGCAAGGTTCAAACCAGCATGGGTAGCAGGCCCAGAGCAGCAGCCCTTCTCCCTCCATACCCCGGACCCTCTTCCCAGTTCCCATACCCAGCTGGAGCTGTCTTACACCCATGCTGCCCCAGGACAGCTCCCAGCATCATCTGAGTTTGGCTTCCAGCTATACGAGCATTACTGCCTCTGAGAAGAGGCAGATCTGGTGAGGAGCTCAAATGTCAGAGCCTCCTTCCAGCCATCCCCACTCCCTTAGAGCCATGTGACCCACACGGCTCGGCCCCAGAGCTGGATTGTGCTGAGAAAGAAGCATGGACACCATGTTTCCTCCAGCCACTGGGCTGCAGTTTGTAAACTGTAAGGGTCTTTCCCACCCAGAAGTTCATGGGTTCTAAGCTTCTCCTGCCACGTCCCAGGTGCCAGGAAGGAAGATGCAGAGGGGCCCCTGCTGGTCACTGTGGGAAGTGACTAAGTAGTTGAATTAAGGCTCAGTGGTAGAGTGCTTGCCTTGCATGCCTGAGGCCCTGGGTTCGATTCCTCAGTACCACATAAGCAAAAAGAAAAAAGCTAGAAGTGGCGCTGTGGCTCAAGTGGTAGAGCGCTAGCCTTGAGCTGAAGAGCTGAGGGACAGCGCCCAGATCCAGAGTTCAGGCCCCACGACCGGACCCCCCCCCCTAAAAAAAAAAGATTAATAGGTCCCTTAGCTGGCCCCAGACAAACCAGGATACTACTCACTGCCAGCATTGCCTGGTCCAATTCTTTGTCCTGGGGCACCTAGTTACAAGGAAGCTTGAAATCTGTAGTGCTCTGAATACTGGCAGCTTGGCCTGCCTATTCCCAAGCACTGCTGGGGACCAGGACTGGAGGGCCAGAGCACCCGCCAGGCCCTGGAGGCTTGCTCCAGGGCACACAGGACCTGCTCTTGCTCCTCCCCCTCCTGCCTGCAGGTGTGAGAACTTCAACAGCAGGTTGTGAAGTGTCCCTGCAGCCATCCTAGAGCACCAGTACTTGCCACTACCCAGGGAAGCCTGACTTAGTATTATCTACGCCATCTCCCTGTCTAGCGACAGAGGTGTTTCGTGCTTGACACTGCTAAACTATCATAGAGAGCCCTCAGGCTACTCTCTTAATTCCACCCATGGAGGGCAAGAGGAAGAGCCAGAGTAGAAGTAGAAATGGAGAGATACCAAGGACTTGTCTAAGGTCAGCCTCTGCATATAAAGCCTCACCAGACCATTGTCAAGGTTAGCTAGCAGGTAGTTGTTTTTGTCCAGGTTTCAGGTAACTTGTGGGAGTCCACAGTTAGTGAAATTGCCTAAGGCTGTGGTTGCTACCTGATACCTCTAGCAAGCCCTACTTTTTCCCTATCCCTGTCCTTGTCCTTACTTGAGATCATGAGAAGTCTTGCAGAAGAGGTCTGGCTCTGCCTGAAGAGTCTTTGACCTGTGGCTGGAGACAAGAATGGCCCCACAGGGCTCAGACAGGCTCCAGACCCTGCCAGCCACTTCACCACAGCCATACTGTAGGGCCATGCTGCCATCTGCTGGCCTCATTCATAAAATACAGCCCGGGCCCAGCCCTGGGGGTTACAAGTGTCTCCTCTTCATCCAGGAAACAGACTGGGCTCCAGCCTGCAGTATTCTGGGACTGACTGGAGAAAAAAGTCTAAAACTGTACCTGGATTACCATAACAGAACCAATTGAGTAGAAAAGTACATGAAAGAACAAATGAACATAAGTATCTGAACATCTGGGCAACAAGCTAACCAAGAAGTGTAGCATAGACTGAGGCAGACCCGTCTTATGGAAGAAAGTACCACTCTTTCCTAAAATGCCTGGTCCCTCATCTCCCTCACACTGTCCCCGTGACCAGGGATGTCAGCCATGTCTTACATTTGGGGAGATTGAGAGGGGTCTGACCAGGGACCCTGAGCAAGAGTGTGGCGAAGCCAGGATTCAACTCACATCTCAGCAAACTTGGTGGTTGGTGAAGGGGTTGGGACACAGGGTTTTCTTCAGAACAGTGATCAGCACAAGGACAGATTCAGAGCTGAGAAGCAGGGTGACAGCTGTGGCTCAGTGAACAACATAGGCATACCCAACGCTCTACGCTGGATTCCCTGCCTGGCCAGGCCGTAACCCTGTCGGGCCCAGAGCCCATGATGGAGGGACCAGCTATGGCCTGAACCGTGTCTGGTGGGGCCTGTACTTCTTGGGCTCATCTCCACAGCATGCCCGGTCTAGACAGAGTAGGGCTGTAAACACGGGTGCCTTCCCTTACCATGCCTATTTTTCCTTCTGAGGGTTTGGCCAGGTGACAAGGCTGACCCCAGCACCCGCCTTCACCTCCAGAGGCCCTCCAGCTGCTGCTGGGCCTCCGGAGCTTCCTCCCTGCATCCTACCTCTGTGGAAGAAGCTTGGGGCTTGACATGCAGCCTTAGGGGATAGTCTCTCTCCAAGCTGGACTAATAGAACCTCCCTTGCTCTGGGAGCAAGCTTTCCCCACACAGTGCCACTGCAGCCAGGATGCATACTCGCTTTGAGGGCTTCTGATTAGATCCACTTTCCCACCAAGGCAGCCCCAAGATGGAGAAGAGCAGTGCACAGCCTCCAGCCCTGGATTGGGGGCAGGTAATGATCTCAGGACTGCAATACACAGCCCCGCTTTACCTGGCCCCTCAGTCTACTGTGTTCCCACCACTTCCCCACTCTGGGTCCTTGACACACTTTGATTGCTAGTTATGTTCACTTGGCAGTCATTAGAATTGCTCTTGAGTGAAGCAAAGCTAGAGTGAGTTCTCTTGGGAGTTAGTCATCCACGGAGGTCTTTGCTGGACCGTGTCTGGGGCTGAGCAGTGGGGAATGAGTCAGTCTGTCACTGCTCTCCCCGTGTCGCCATCTAGCAAGCAGGGAGACCAAGACATGTTCACAAACTAAGAGAGAAAGAGCAGTGTGGACATATTGGCTCAGAGAAAGTGGGGATAAAAGAAAAAGGATTCAGAGGGATAAATAGTACTGGGTCGCAGACAGGTTCTTTATACCAACCATTCAAAGGTACAAGAGAGCCACTGGGCAGGGAGCTTGGGAAAGGGGGCATGCCACTTGCCTCCAGGGTTTCTCCAGCCGCCGTGTCTCCCCTGCAGGCTCGTGGAGGAGTTCATGCTCTTGGCCAACATGGCAGTGGCCCACAAGATCTACCGTGCCTTCCCTGAGCAGGCTCTGCTGCGACGGCACCCCCCACCCCAAACAAAGATGCTCAATGACCTAGTGGAATTCTGCAACCAAATGGGGCTGCCCATGGATGTCAGCTCTGCAGGCTCCCTTAATGTGAGTGCTGTGTGGTAGAGGAGTGAGAGACTCTGTCAGTCTAGCACCTTCCACTTTCCACGGGGTCCCTTTCCCCCTCATCTGCATCTCCCCTGCAGCAGGTCGGGGGGCCTGAGGAGAAGTCCTGAGTCACAGAGGCTCTGACTGGAGTCAGTCCCTCTCACCTAGATGGCCCAAGGGAAGCCACTCAAGGCTTAGCCATGGGCAGAGGTCCTTTGGCCAGAACTGGGCAGGTGTTAGGCCTAGAGGCTTTCCGTATGGGCCTGGGATTCCTGTAATCCATGGGACGTTTCTTAGGGAGGCTGGTTTCCGGACCCCTCTTCTTGGAGCTAAGCCTGATGGGGCAGGGGAATCCAGAGCCCTGACTCCAGTCCTCCAGGAGGGAGACTTCTCACTCATGCTCTGAGCGCTGAGGAGGCAGAAAGTAGCTCTATGGCAGAGAGCTGGCCATACAGCTAGACGTGGAAGGGCTGATTAGAGGTCCAGTGTGGGTCACAGGGTATGAGCTCTGCACCCCAGCAGGACTGAGCCCGTGGCCAGGGGATCCCTCCTCTTGGTATCAGGTGGTCAACAGATGATGGGCTCAGAACTTCTTCCCAAATATAACTGCATCTCATACAGGTTTCTGGGGTTTGCTTCTAGAAAAGTCTGACCAAAACATTTGGAGATGACAAGTACTCCTTAGCTCGGAAGGAGGTGCTCACCAACATGTACTCCCGACCCATGCAGGTAAGGGGGACCAGGACTCTGTCCCCATTCCTAAGAGTGCCCATAGACCTGACCTCAAAACCTTTATGGGCACTCAGCCCACTGCCTTTCCTGCTCTGCCCTGGGGCCTATCTGGGTGCAGAGGGGCTGTGAGCATGCGAGAGGAGGGTGCCCTCAGCAGCCCCTGGGATGGGGATGCCGGGGTCCCAGGAAGAGCCTGTCCGTATACCAAGGACAGCTGGGCTGCCCGTGGCTGCTAGGGAACCCAAGCAGGAGAAAAGTTCCAGGCCCAGCCATATAGTCCAGCTTACACAGATAGACTCCATGCCCCTGGGTCCATGACCAGGGACAGCCTGTGAGTAGCATGTCAGGGCTGGCCCTCCAGCCTGCACGTTAGCACATGAGTGCTATCATGTCAACAGGAACTATAGCTGCTAATAGGGCTGGTGCTGGGCCCCAGAGCTGGGATGGTGACGGCATTTTTCAGGGGTCACTCAGCAGATTCAGCCTGGTCAGAAGAATCAGATGGCCACCACTGATTTATTTCCTCACACTTCATACTGTACTAGGAATGGAGCCATCCAGAGCCTTGAGGGGCTGTGTACATGCCCCACGCCACCCACATGCTCACTGCCACCTAAAAAGGCTCAGTAGTCTCTGTGCTTCAGGCCATGCCTTCTGCCCTTCCTGCAAACCTTCCACTTCTAGGGTCAAACTGGTCCTGGAGCTCCATAGATAGAAGCCTTCTCCTGGCTCGGGGTTTTCTGGCTCCCCTGACCCCGCCAGCCAGGGGAGCCTGTGAGCTTCCCCTCCCCTGCTTCCTGGTCCCTCTGGTGACATGGGCCTCTGTCACGGGGCTGGGAAGAATCCAGCTGAAATACCCCATGAACTGGAGTGAGACAAGGCAGGGCAGGGGCGACAGCAGCAGCAGCAATGCTAAAAGTGGTGGTGGTGGTGGTGATGCCTCATTCCTCCCTGAGCTGTGAAATGGGACACAGAGCTGTCCCAGGACACCACAGGGACACCATGTCCTCACCCTACCCAGAGATATTTCCACCAGCCCGAAGGGAGCAGAGCCCTTTATCCTTCTCACCCCATCTTGTCTGGGGAACTAGGCCACCACTGAGAACAACAAAGCCCAAAGGGTGGCTTGCAGTGGAGACAGTATCTACCCCCTCTGCGACTTGTCCTGGGTAAGCCATGACTCCAGCGGGGCTGCATGGGAAGTGGAGTTAGAGGCGGAGCTGGGCACTGCCTGCTGCCCCCTGGATTCCAGTGCCATGCAGTCAGCTGTCCTTTGGCTAGGCACACAGGCCTTAGCAAGAGAGTGAACGTGCTTCCAGGCAGCAGGCTGCCTGATTCTAGAGGCTCTGACCAGACTTGGCTCTGGGCTGTCTGGACCTCTCTCTTGGCATGTCTCACGCTGGGAGGAACAGGTAGTCTGGAGCAGGCAGCCCTGGCTAGTATGGGGCTGGGAGAGTGCAGTGCAAGCATAGCTAGCATCTGAGTAGTGATCAGGGACAAAGGGATTGAGGTCAGCTCATGCATAGGCTGCGGAGCCCCCTTGGGTTTTGCTCCTGGATGGAGGAGTAGCATTTTCCCCTTGTGGGCAGATGGTAGCACTGGACTTGGCACTGCCTGACAGGCATTCAGCCGCCTCAGCTTCTGCTTGTGCCTCTTGAAGACAAGTCTGTAGGCCTGGCCTCCTGTTTGGGGGAAGGGGTAGATCACAGACTGCCCTTCCTCCTCCTCTTTGTTCTGATAGAGACCCAGGGCTCTGAGGGGAGGAGGCTACAAGTAGCCATCTTTGAGGAATCCTGTCACCATTCCCAGCAGAGAGATGGGGTCATTTGAGCTATTTTGAGTACTGTCACGAGGAAGGCATCCAGACAACCCTGGGGCAAGGCCAGGAGGCCTCCCAGCCTGCCTCTGTCTCATGGCAGCTTCTTGAGTCCTTTTATGCAGAATGACTGACCCCTGACCCCAAAAGCCTGCTTGGTTTTGTTAAACTGCCTGTGGCCTATCTGTTCAGTCTGTACCAAGACTTTCCCTGACAACTGTGGCTCTCCCAGTGCCCACCAGGCCTGGATAAACTCTGACTGAGACCTGCTCCCACCCACAGATGGCACTGTACTTCTGCTCAGGGGTGCTGCACGATCAAGCTCAGTTCCGGCACTATGCCCTCAATGTGCCTCTCTACACGCACTTCACCTCACCCATCCGCCGCTTTGCAGACGTCATGGTGCACCGCCTCTTGGCTGCTGCTCTGGGTAAGGGGCATGGCTTGGGACCGGAATGGGCCTGCACCCACCAAGGGCATCCCCCAGCATGAGTGCCTAATGGCCAAAGGCCACCCCGCTGGGCCATGGAGGTCCTGAAGGACAGATGGCCCAAGGTTGAGGGGTCCTGGACCTAAAAGCTGCCCCTTCATCCCTAAACTGGTGGCTCATGCCTGTAATCCTAGCTACCCAGGAGTCTGAGATCTAAGAATCCAGGTTCAAAGCCAGCCTGGGCAGGAAAGTCCATGAGACTCTTATCTCCAATAAACCACTCAGAAAACCAGAAGTGGTGCTGTGGCTCAACTGGTAGAGAGCTAGCCTTGAGCTGAAGAGCTGAGGGACAGCGCCCAGGCCCAGAGTTCAGGCCCCATAACCGACCAAAAAAAACCCACCAAAAACAAAAAAAACTGCCCCTTCATGTAAGGAGGCTACAGTGGGGCTCACCACCAGCCTAGACAGAGGTGGGCACCAAGGCCCCTTCCGGGGGTTTGCCTTCTCAGTGTTGGAACTGAGCAGTAGGGGCAGGTAGGGGGCTTAGCTTGTGCGTAGGCCAGGGCACCATGCTGTCTAACGCCACGCCCCTCACCAGTAGCCCTGACCACCTCTCATCAGGCTACAGGGAACAGCCAGACACTGAGCCCAGTACCATACAGAAGCAGGCGGACCACTGCAATGACCGCCGCATGGCGTCCAAGCGTGTACAGGAGCTCAGCACCAACCTCTTCTTTGCTGTCCTGGTCAAGGTAAGCCCTGACCTAGTACCTTCTCCCCACCCCACTTCACCTGCCCCTCCAGGGTGCCTACTAACCAGGAGCCTCAAGAAATGCCAGTGTCCCTGCCCCTTGCCACTATAGAGGTGCCACGGCCGGAGCTCTCTTCCCACAGGAGACTGGCCCCTTGGAGTCAGAAGCCATGGTGATGGGTGTCCTGAACCAAGCCTTCGATGTGCTGGTGCTGCGTTACGGGGTACAGAAGCGTATCTACTGCAACGTGAGTGCCCAGTGTGAGCAGGAGGCCATGCTGTCCCGCAGGACTAAGTCCCTGGCTCGCCCCCGGACTTAGCACAGGATTCCCTGCTTTCCTCTTTGTCTCCACACCTACTTCTGGGATTCCTCTCTATGTCACTGACCCAGAGCAGGCCATGGTGGCCTCACAAACATGGAGGACACTGAGGTCCCTGTTGCCCTCCTTGATACCAGAGAGACACAGACCGTATGGGTCCCACTGGCACGTGGCAGCAGAGGGTCCAAAACCCTGACCCAAACCTGCCCATGGGGCCCTGCCAGGACAGCCCATCTAGGCCTGCCTTGGTTTGTATGTATATAGATAGGTAGGTAGGGAAGGTGTAGTATTTATTTATTTGCTGGTCCTGGGGCTTGAACTCAGGTCCTGGGCATTGTACTTTTATTGGAATATTAGGAAGGAAAGGCCATAGGATAGCTCATAGCCACTCTAAAAAGAAGGAAGACACCTGACCTTGCCTTGGCTCCTGTCCTGGGTGATTGTTTATTAAGAGTGTTCCAAGGAGCATATATGCCTATCCTATTGCCATCTGAGAGAACCTGGTGCTAGCCAGTCCTGTAGAATCTAGCTCCTGCCCCAGCTTTGAATTCCTAACATCTAGAGTGCTTGGAAGTGTGCAGTCCCACTCATAGTGCGGAATAGACATGGAATGAATGAAATTGGGAGGAGCAGAAGAGAAAGAGTATGTCTGTCTGGAAACAATCAAGTGCTTGTGCTAAAGTTCGATGAGCAGTATGGAAGTCCAGATCTAGGTCAGATCCGCAGCCCACCAGCCCACAGCGTGTGCTATCAGACCCAACACCAGCAGAGGGCCCAGTCTGTGCACTACTGCAGGTCCCACCATTCGAGCCCTGGCCCCCTCCTCAGGTGCTGCTTTATCTGAACACCTTTGAAAGCTGGCTGCTGACAATGGTCCCTGTCGGAGTCAAGCAGCCAGCAGTGGGCAGCAGAACAGGGAACTGGCTCTATCAGGCTAGGCCATGGCAGAGGGCTACCTCCAAGCAGGAAGCTGGGAGACAGCATCCACAGCCCAACGCCTGAGGTCCTGTGTGTGTACCCCAGGCGCTGGCCTTGCGGTCCTACCACTATCAGAAGGTGGGGAAGAAGCCGGAGCTTACACTTGTTTGGGAGCCTGAAGACCTGGAACAGGAGCCCGCACGGCAGGTCAGAACCCCTGTGTCCTGTCTACCTCTTCCTCCTGCCTTACCAGTACAGGAGGCTACTCTCCAGGATGGCAGGCTCCCTCGTGTGGTTTCAGCCCCAGGGTCTCTCGAGAAGCTTATGAAAGCTATGGCTTCACACCCCAATGATGCTATAGAGTGGCTCTCGGTCCAGAGGCTACCCTATCCCAGACCCTTATAAATGCTTACTGTGTGAGAACCCAGACCACCTGGGTCCCTCAGGTTCCCCAGACCCCATGGCTGGAGTTTACACGTGAGCCACAGAGGCTTAGGGGCTTCAGGGCCAGCTGGGCTCTGCCCTCACTGTGCCCTCACTATGTCTGGTTCTGCTGTAGACCATCACCATCTTCAGCCTGGTAGAAGTGGTCCTGCAGGCGGAGAGTGTGGCCCTCAAGTACAGCGCCATCCTGAAGCGGCCAGGCCCTGAAAGTTCCCTGGGCCTGGAGGAGGAGGAGCCCAACGCTGAGCCGGAGGACTGAGTGCCGCACCGTCACCTGCCTAGCCTGCTGGCTTTCAGGAATGGGACCTTTTGACACCAAAGGGGATTTTTAATTTGGTTTTTTTTTAACAACTCAGGGGTTTATTTTTATTTTCATTTTATTTTATTTTTACAGCTCAGTTTTTAAAGGAACTGGATGGGAAAGGATGGGGTTGGATGGAAGGCTGAGGCCTGGCTAGTGCTTCCCCAAACAAAAAGGGGCCCCAGTCCCTCCTGGGAGGCCAACCCAGCTTCTACCAGCCCCCCACTGTCCTCCCCGTCCCAGGAAATGGGGGTTCAGCAAATCAGTGTCATGGAATAAAATCAAGTGTGAAGTGCCATGTGAGTGTGTGTGTGTGTGCGCGCGCACGCCACTGGGAAGCCAGGCAGTTGGGCCAAGGGGTCCAGCTCGAGCTCCCCTCACAGCTGAGCCAGGGTCACCAGCCCAGAACCTAGCTGCCAGCTCCAGGATGATTCACAGAGCTGTGTGTGGCAGATTGATGCCGGGGCCTCATTCTGGCTGATTAAAAATGTAATTAGTATGCACAACCCATCACCCTGCACATGTGGCCTCATCTGCCCCTCCCCCACGTGTCCTCGGCTCCAGCCTGCAGGCCTGTTCCTAAGCCAGATCTCCAAGTTGGCTAGTCCACAGCCCTCAGTGTGAGCCCGTGTCTCAGGCCCCATTCCTGTGCCCTGGCACTGCTGAGGGAGCATGGGGACAGCAGGAGGCCAGGCTGGCTGGAGGGCAAGAGGGCCCAGATACCAGTGTTCCTGAGCTGGGAGGAGAGGAGGGACCTGCGATCCCTCCCATCCTGATTTATCTGCCCCCCTCCCCCCCCCGTCCTAAGCCCCCACTAGCTTCCTCTCTCGTGGCTCTCTAGGCAGAGATGGACCGCTGGGCAGCCCTGCCCACAGCTGGCCTGGCTTGGTCCACACCCCTTCCCTGCAAACTGGAGAAGCACAGATTGGCTTCCTCGAGAGCAGCCAGAATCTAGGGGTTTAAAAAAAAAAAGCGTTGATCCACGCCCCTGTCCCACCACGCTGCTTCCTGAAGTGTCCAGATTAATGGGCTGCTTTCAGTTCTCTTAAGTGTCCCTGGTGGAGGACCTTGCAGTGACTGGAGGCAGCTGTGGTGCTGTTTCCCCCTGGGGGAAACCAAAGAACTCAGGGCCTTACCTGCCCGCGCTCCCCTGACAGCTCACAGACCGCCATCTGCCACTGCCAAGAGCACGCCGCCTCCTGCTTCTAGCCCAATAGCTGCCTTCTGGCCCCAAAGTTCTGGAAAGCAAGGGAAGTGGGGAGCTGGTAATTTGGTATTTGAATAAGGAAAAGCCTTCTAGGCGCTTCCCCAGCCAGGACAGACCCACGGAAGGTTCCCAAGGTGACATTCCTACACTGCCTCATCCCGCAAGACCGTGCCACCCAAATTCTCTGCTCGGTCAGATCTAAGCTGTCCCTGAGGGAGGCAATGGCAGAGTGCTGGGTTCCCCTCAGGTGGCAGAGGATGGAACCAGATGCTGCCTGATTGTCCCAGTGCAGAGTGGCCAGCTCCGTCAGCAAGGGAGTGCTGCTGCCCCCATGTGCTTGGGAGCCAGGTGCCAGGTGCCAGGCTCGGAGCTTCTCCCGGCAGATTCACCTCCCGCTCAGACTCCCAGAGCATCCCTGTCCCCGCCGTCCCCATGGGAGCTCGGAGGCCATGACTGCCCCTGGCCGCACCATCCTGTTTGAAAAGTGGAAAGAGGTCTCTGCCACAGATGGCACAGGCAGACTGCCCAGCCACAACCAGGACTTGGTGCCTGCCCTCCACCCGCTCCACCGAAGTTGAGCATGTTGTCTTCATTCCTTCACTCCACAGACGTCATTGACTCCATGCAGTGCAGGACCCTGCTGAACGAGTGTCCCCAAGTCCTGTGAGGGGTGGCCAGATCAAACCTCACCAAAAGGAGGGCTGCCTAGTCCGCCACCCCAAGCACTCACATGTCTGTGCAGGCCACAGCCCGGGGCAGAGCGCATCTGTTTTTCTCCAGGGCCCCCTCAGGTAAGGAAGGAAGACGCCCAACGAATCCCACTTCACCACCAGGTTCTGCCCATGCTCAGAGGTGAGCGAGTGTATGCCCAGCCATGCAGGGTCGTTGCCAGATTCCTAGACGCAGAGAAAGATGGAAGAGGCAGTAAGCTGGCTTGTGTAAGGGGCTAAGGTGGCCTCCTGTCCCGAGGAGGGGCAGACCCCCTGCCCAGCCCTGTGCAAAGCGTGTGCCCCCTTCCCCAGCCTGCAGGAAGGGCAGGTGCCAGGGGGAGGAGAGGCCTTGGCAGAGACAACTCTGGTGGCCACTGCAGCCCCTCTGGCCGTGAGGCAGGCGCAGGACAACAGGAGAAGGGCCTGAGAGGAACGCATCCAAATGTCCCGAAAAGCCCGGAATGGACCTTTGCCCAGCACCAGGGGCACATGAGCACAGTGCAAGCTAGAATGGCAACAGCTAAGGCCAGAGACTGGGCTGCCACTAGAGACCATAATGTCTCAAACGCTGCTATGGGACCTTCAGAGACTGGGCTGCCCGGGAAGGGCTGAGCACTGCACCAAGAGGCGAGAGCACTGCTGACCAGCAGGAAGCGGAAGCAGTGTGTGCGAGGGTGCATGGGTATGCGGTGCGCACACTGGCCATGCCTGCCTGGTGTCACTCCTCACCAGGCGGCCTTGAGGAGGAAGTGGCTGTGGTTGGGCCTTAGAAGAAAAGGAGTGGGCATTCTAGGCAAGGAGAGCTTGAAGCCAGCGCCTTGGAGCTGGGGCTGGGGCTGGATCTGCCTGGCTAAAGGTCATTGCTGTGGGCTTCAGTGTGCAGATTACAAACACACCCCTTCTCACTACCTCCCCGAAGTCCACCTCAAAAGCGAACATGTTTATTTTAAGGCATTATGGCAGTGCAGTGAAAACAGGAGAAAACGTCCCTTTGGAAGCTGGAAAATGGCATGTGAGCAAACAGCCTTCTCTCCCCCCCCCCCAGGTCCCCAGGTGTCCCCTAAGACCTGGGAAAAGTGAGCCCAAAGGCCACCAACAAAAATGTGGGAGTCAGCCCCATCTGCACCACAGGACCCCCCACACCCTCACCCAACAGTGAGTTCTACTTCCCCCCCCCCCGGGAAGGGAGAGGGATAGCTGTAGCCCAGACGCCCAGCCTCCTCCTGCGGGGCCCAGCAACTGCCCCCTCCCCACAGTAGCAGAGATGGAAGATCCGTCACTGAAGGGGTAAACTCAGGGTCTTTGGGCTGGGGCCACTCAGGACACTGGCAGCCAGACAGGAGCTGGGAAATGTCCTTCCCAGGGGTTTCTTGTCCTCATATAAAACACAATACTCCAGCATCAAAAGTTCCCCAACTAAATGTCCCAGCCAGGTGGCTCACAGGCAATCAATCAGTCTACAAGCTCCCAGGGTACTTGGAGCTTGGTATTTGTAGATGCCAACCATAAATATAGATAGACAGTCAAGGACAAAAGCACACAGAAAAGGAGTTTCATGGAGAAAACAGACTATGCAGGGAGAGGGAAGAAAGTGTCAGAAAAACACTTGCCACTTAGAAACAATGTCAGTTTCCATTGAAGGTGTCCACTGATGTTTGCAAAGGGATGAGAGCCATCATAAAACAAGAACGGGGTACTCACAAAAATAGCCATTGGAAAAAGCACAGGTCCTTAGGGGTGTCCGATTCTAAACATTTTTACTAGCTTTGCTGTGGTGTTGAGGCTCAAGCCCCAGGGCCTTGCACATGCGATCTTACCACTGAGCCTCATCTCAAAACGTAGACATCCAAATTCTTCAGCAGTGGGTGTCCCATGTGTTCATTCTCAAAAAGAATGAGCTCTGCCACATGAGGACGTAGGCCAAGGAATAGGAAAGCAGACAGGAAATGGCCTTACCAGTCAGATTGTGGGAGTCTATTAGTACTTCCCAGAATGAAATTGAAGTGAGAAGCTCTTGTGTTGGCAGTCCCTGATCCTTGGGTACCCAAAGCCTGTGGGATGGACTAAGCGATGCAGTACCTCATAGCCCTGCAAGCCCTGAGAGCTGGGAGCCCGTAGCTCCAGGCTTTGGTAGCCAGTGGCATTGGACTCAGGTCGTTGGGATTGGTGGCTTACTGCTCTCGTCTTGAACACCAGTGGCCCCATCCTTGGCAGCTGTTGTAACCCTCAGTTTTCAGAAGCAATGAGCAATAGCAGCAGGCAGTGTCTGCTAGCTGTTACAACTCTTATAGCAGTTACTGTGTCAGCTCTTAAGCCTAGGATGTTCGGGACACTTGGCCCTCAGGTCTTGGCAGCCCCTTGCAGCTCTCCCAGCAATCTGAGGCCATAACCTCTTATCTTCATTTCTCAGCTGGTCTGTACCACCTCCTCTCACTGCTGCTCCATGGAACATTCCTGCATCCACTCACTGCCACTTCTGGGCAGCCACTTACACTTAGCCTGCTGTACCAATGATAAAGATCAAAAGTAAGCAAATCCACTTGAGAGATGCCTTCCATTGGCCCTAATGTTGCAACCTAAGGGGACAGCACAGGAGGATGTCACCCAACCGATTAAAAAAAAAAAAAAGCAAGCCGGGCGGTGGTGGCTTCTGGCTATAATCCTAGCTATTTAGGAGGTTGAGATCTGAGGATTGTGGTTCAAAGCCAGCCTGGGCAGGAAACACTGTGAGACTCTTGTCTCCAATAAACCACTCAGAAAACCGGAAGTGGCGCTGTGGCTCAAGTAGTAGAAAGCTACCCTTGAGCTGAAGAGCTCAGGCCCAGAGTTCAAGCCCCATGACTGACCAAAAAAAAAAAAAAAAAGCTGAGTGCTCTGCCTGTGTAGCTGGAGGGGGCGCAGCAAGGGTGTCCAATTACCTGACTCCTGCTGGGCCATCAGAGGATGTGCTCCCCCTCTGGTCCAGGTGAAAATTGCTGCAAGATCATCTGGAGCTTTAGTTCACTAGTGGTAGGGAAAGAATAATAAATCCAAGCTACTTGAAGTAGCCCTGGCTGTATTCAAACACTGCCTTCTGGAGCTGGAGTTGAGCTTCAGCAGTGAGTAGTTGCAGTGTAGCTTCCCTGAGGCACCGTGGAGTCTTCAAAGGAGCTAGGCTGCCGTGAGGCCTCCAGTTGGTTGATTGGCTAAAATTTCTCCTCTTAAGGCAGCCAGGACCCCAGGGAAGAGTCTAACAGCCATCACCTAGAGAACCAAAGCACCCTAGCTCTCATCTTAGCCTACTTCAAGAAAAAATAGACAAAAGAGGTGTATACAATTAAGGTGTGTACAATTAAGTGACTTACTAGCTTCAGACTGATAAGCATCTTGAGGACTTTC